GGATTGGAGGCTCAAATCCTGGGATCTGGTGTCCATGGGCCTGCAGGGGCGGGGGGGGAGAAGATAACAAATCCTTTCTCATGTTCTGTTACTATTCCTCACACGCTTTACTCTGATAAAAAAACATGCCATCTACATAGCAGAAACAAAGGTATGTAGCGTTGGTTCGGAAATTACAGTCAGTTAACTATACATTGGTTCAATGTTCACAAGTAGATGGTAAGGAATAGATATCTGTGTATTGAATGTAGCTGATTCAAAGTTACACAATTATTTAAAGGTAAAAGTTGGTGATGAGTAGCTTTTCAAAAGTGTTTTAGTCTTTTTTTTGTTTCACATTTAACAGTGTGTGTTCAAACTTTGTAGGTTTATGTCCGATTGTTGAGAGTTCCTTGCCACCGTCACCAAGAATACATTCCTCTGACGTTTTGTGTTAGGGAACTCTCTATTTTGAGAGGAATACTCGTCACTGATGCAAATGCTGCATGGAGTAGATTATGTACATGATTTGAATTAACTACAACAAATTACAATTGTTTAGTATTAAGGTTTCTTCTTCATACAATGTTGGTTTTGGACATGAATAATACATTTTGAATTCATACAGGCAGCACACTCAACTTGCCCGGGTATTGTAGCTTTTCGTGACGGTTTAATCATTCTAGATGTGCTATCACTTTGGAAGGTTTAACAATTGAAGGGAACCTCTGAACAATTCCAAAACTGTCTTTACAAACTAAAATGGGTCAAATGTACCCGAGCGGTCCAAACCAGAATCTGGTGCGGTTTTGTTTAGAAACTTCAGATGTGAATCCGACATTAGGTGGGGGAAAGGGGGGAGGGCCCAACCCTGCTGATGAACGGGGGTACTGGTATGGAGGCTCTTGGGACTTGGAAAATATTCATCTCCTCTAAGCAGGGAGAGTTAAGGGGGGGGGGGGGGGCAGGCTTTGTCTAACACACCCCCCAAACCCTCTGCTCTTTTGTTGGGAGGTAGCATTCACACACACACACACACACACACACACACACACACACACACACACACACACACACACACACACACACACACACACACACACACACACAACACACACACACACACACACACACACACACACACACACACACAACACACACACACGTAAAGCTCTCCAGCAGAGAGGCTTTGACCAGCTGTCTTCGCTCTGAAAGATGGCCGTCGTCACTCATAAACCCAGAAGAGCTTGCAAAAGGAAATATCTCTATCTTTATCATTCTCTGGTCTGCCTCTGCAGCGGCTATATTTCACTTTTCCCACGTCATTTACTCAATTTAGACTTGACATTTTCCACAATGAGTTTTGAGCCAGCAGCGGACGCTCCAATTTCTCAATCACAAGATTCAGAAGCTGCGAGCAGACAACATAAAACCCTTACATTTCTTTGGGAAGAAATGTAAAAAAGAGTCAAATGTATAGATACAGGTACAGCCTGTAGAGAGTGACTTCTGATTAGTAATATATAATTCAATAATGCCACATATCCAAAGTTTCACCAAATCACGAATACGTGTGCAGCAGCATAGAATACTGTGTTTTGTTGTCATGCCAGCAACCCCCTTCTCAGTTGTTTTTATGTCCACAAATCTTTATAAAGAAAAATAATGAACGGCTCCCATTTTGCAACTAAATCTGGAATTCTTGAAACAAATAAAAATGTACAGACTGGGTCACCTAACAATGGCAAGGACGGGGTTATTCCTCCATCTATTTATCATAAATGAGAAATTGCATAGAAGAACAACATCCTGTTATTTAGTCTGAATAGAGGTTAACGCACAGCCAATGAAATGCCTTCATACTGAAACAAATTCTATCATCTGCGTAGAAATCGATGCAGACATGGTGGCTATGCTAACAAAGATAACTAAAGCAGCCGCCTCTATTTCGCCCCCTCAGTGTGTGTGTGTGTGTGTGTGTGTGTGTGTGTATTGTTCATGGACCAAGGCTATTTCAGAGTCGGGGGCCCTTCCAGTCGTCCTCTCTGTATTGGCCCTTTCATCGCTCCCTTATCCATATTCATCACCGCCCCACTCTCCCAACCTATCAGCAACCAGAAAGCTGTGACCGGCGCCTCGCTCCACCAATCGCACGGCTTCCTTTGTGGGAACATTCCCACCTCTCAGCGCCTTCACCCCACCCTGTACAATGGCTGCTTTTTTTTTTACTTTGACGCAGTGGTTTGAAGAAAAAAAAACGGAGGAGGAGAGGTTGGAGGAGGAGAAGGAGAGTCGAGGCTACCACTGGCCGACGGCGACCGCAAATCGATCGACAGCCTCGGAAGCGGTTGCCGAGCGAGCGTCGTCAATGGCAGCCCGCGATTGATGAAGGGGGTGGGTGGAGGACGAAATGATGGGAGGACGAGGATGAAGGAGGAAGGGAGGAGGAGGAGGATGAGGGCGCAGTCGTGACGGTCTGAACCAGAGCATGATTAGTATGGATGAGGAGGAGAGGAAGATGGGGGGAATGGAAGAGGAAGAGAGGGCTCGGAATCGCGAGTGAACAAAACAAGCGTGTCGCAGGGGAGGACGCCGTGTTCTGCAACAGCGCCTACCCAAACACACTGTTTCAGAAAACTACTGCTCGACCAACTGATTAACCATAAAATTCTGCATAATTATTAAAAAAAAAAATCTCAACAGATCTGATTATTTCATGTTTTGTGGATCACACTGTTATAGGGTTGGTCGTATTTATGACCGACCCCTCTCAAATCTATTTCCCAGTGTTCAAAGACAAATATGGAGCTTGTTCCTCCCTAGTCCCGACAGTTGATCAATGCGAGGAAGGCAGCCCTCCTTTGTATGGACCTCCCGAAAAAAAAAAGATGCTCCGCTCAGCTCCCGGAGCAATGGAAAACACTCGGATCAATAGCATCAAAGGTCCTGTCTGACACAGCGAAGACCCCCTCCACAGCATGTTGGGTTGGTGCATGCACGTGTCCATCTGCAGAGCAATAATTCCTCTACACACCCCTTTAAGTCTCTAATTAATCTCTGATTTTTGCAACTCAAATCAGACGAGAACACAAAGACAAACCACACACACACACACACACACACACACACACACACACACACACACACACGTAGAAATCTTCCGCTAGTCCCCTAATGTCACTTAGCAAGGACATTGCCCCCTCCTCCTTCCATTTACTAAATGAATGTATTACATCGAGAGAAGAGACCGTAAGTACGAGTCAGCAAACGTTCCCCCTGATTGTTGAACCTGTAGGCATCACATGTTCTGACCACCTACATGAAGATCGGTAAAAAACAGCAACATATTATTTATTCTGTTTGTGCTTACATAGATCAATGGCTTACACAAGCACTGTATTTCCCCTGAAAGCTGCATTCGTTGGTAATGGACTGAATCTGAATCTTTTCTATTAGACTGCGGCTGCTGTTAGAGACCGAAGTATCAGTATTGGTTATAGTACTCTAAACAAATACCAGTTTGTAGTGACAATGGAACGCGTGAGCCACCATGAATGTTCCCACCAAAAGGTAACATTTTGTGATAAAATAGGGAATTATTATAATTTTGTTGCTGAGAAATGCTAAATAATATTATAATTACCTCCAGTGCCATACAAAGAAGAAAGAAAAGATCAACAATAAAAGGTTAAGTAAATGTTTTTAACCTTTCAACCTGTGTGTCAAAAATACTGCATTATCTTGGCACTGAAACCACTTTTTTCTTTAATGTATTTTTCTTTGTAGATAATAGTGTGTCTTGTTTCCTCCTTCTGTTGAGTATCCTTCGATATCCTTGTAATATTATCCTTATATCATTTTGGCCACTCTAAACTCAACTCTTACACTCTAAACTCTCCTGAAGGCTTAATGATATTCCCATTTTAATGTCTAATATACTTCTTTGCAGGAAAATAATACATTTTGCGTCAGTCTTTTCTCCAAATAAATGTAAGTCTTAGCTCAAATGTTACCATGAAACACTGAACCCTGATTGGCCGACAGCTTGAATTATGAAACAACTCAAATATTTCATTCAGCCAATCACGATCAATCTGGCTTTGAAAATGATCCAAGTATAAACCTCTGAAACTAAAATCAAATATTAACAATGAGCTCATGAAACGCCTCTGATCGTATATGTACATGATTAGAGAGGAATCAGAATTCCTTTAATGTTGGGGGGAGGCATGCTGGTTCGGGGTGAGGGGAGCCATGGAGATAAGAATGGGGTTTGGGTGGGGGGATTAGAGGGCCGGTGGGGGTGTGCAGCTACTGCAGCTACTCATTGATCTTTCATTCTTTAAGACCTTCAGCCTTTATGAGACATTGCTGTGATTTATGACCCCCGGGGGGGTTACAGCGGTCTCCTGTCATCCTGTACCTCTGACAGCTGACCAGCTCCTTCTCTAATGCCGCTCCCCTCACTCAAACACACACATTTGAATAAACCCTGCACACAAACCAGCCACAGACAACATATTAAGATATAAAAACGTGTCCTCTGTTGAAAGTCCCTGTGAAGAAGAGCATGGGTTAACCCGACAGTCATGTGACATTTACTGACAGCGGTTGCGCGGCGGGCACTGCAGTATATCACACTTGAAAGAACATTTCCACATTACATCAGCAGTCATAAAGCTTTGGCGACATGGCTAGCATGAGGTCAAAGGTCATCAGAATTCATCTGCACAGCAATGTTTCATGTGTATCATGACAAAATAATGTGTATAAAAAGCATGGGAATGGATGTCATGGAACTGATCACATAGAAACAATATCAGCATTACCCTTGATCATGAGAATATGAGGGTGTTACTTTAAATCCTATTTAGGCAGCATTAAAGCTTGTCATTAAAATTCCCCTAAAGATTTAGATTGCAGGATTTGACCTTCAGGAACACGACATGAACCACTCCTGCATTGAAGAAGGTTAGGTTAAAGAAAATAAAAACAGGTAGAAGATCAAAAGTCTCTCTTACCATGAGTCTCAGTTTCTTGTTGAGGGAAATACAATGCCTTCAGTTTCAAAAAGGGGCTGCAGGAAGGCCACTACAGAGAGAGGAAGCACAGGGGTGGGGGTGCGTGGTGTAAGCTAATCATACAGAGAAACAACCATTGTTATGATCTCTTAGCAGCACTTTCTTTTCTAATCTGCAGAGCAGCGTCAATATATATTTAAAGACAACAACATACTCTCAGTGAAAATATATCTTTCTCTGCATCGTATTAGTAATAAAATGATCATTTAGGCTCATCTCATCTGCGTAATCTGATTACAGGCCGTCTATAAGAAAAATAATGTCATTTACACAAAGAGACATTTTTTCAAAGAGAACTGAATTGAGTTTTTTCACAAATTCTGCAACCAAGCTCTGATCCTCTGTTCATCCTGAAGTGTGTGTGTGGAGCGGCTTTATTTCCAACCATCCCATCATGAGCCTGATGCTGCCGGCTGAAGGAGGGTTGGCCTTCCTCTCTGCCTGAGTGAAAGCCTGCTCGGCCGTGCTCCTCATCATCATCATCATCATCATCATCCCAACCTTTTAATTTGTCTAAATGGACGAGCTGTCTGTTCAGGCAGGAGGATGGGGTCCCTGGGGGCCGCCAGGGCTTTTTGCATACAGCAGGAGGAGACTTTAGTGCTGCAAGAGCATCGATCTGTACACAATCGCTAACCTGCGGCTAACCCCTCTTCTGCCGGACACTCTCTCTGTTTAATTATTACCAGCTGTCATATTTCTGAAGCTGTGAAAAATTACCCTCCTCTTGTTTTCTGTTTTACTGAAAAGGAGCACGTCACACAATAATCTAAATAAATGTATTAGTGTCCGGACCCTGTATGCACTGTAAACCCGAAATAGCTACATGTTCCAATTGGTGGCAACCAAATTAAAGTGTTTTAAACAAGTTATCTCAAATATATTTAGTACTCTGAATGTTTTCGATCACCACTGCCATGAAACTAAGTTAACAGAACTTAAAATAAGTGTACAAACACATGGTTTCCAATGTCTTTGTTTGTATTCTCTACTGTTGTTTTATTAATTCTCTAGTTATTTTTTTCTAATCATGCCATCCTTTATTTTGAGGACAAGCGACTCAACTCAATGGGTTTGTAGTGAATACATTACAGTAAACATCACAGCTGCTTGCATTATGGTAAATCACCCATAGTGGATTGCTTTCTGCGGGAAATCTCTCGGCCAGTCCTTTAAATAATTGGGGCAAAAATCAGATGCCATCCAGTCATGTTAAAAATCATGGAGGTTCTTCTCTGAAAAAACCTGCAGTTAATCTCGGATTCTTTCCTTTTTTTGACACACATAATTTGTCTCGAAGTATACACTAACATTAAATCAATTTTCTTACAATCATACGTGTTTAGGTTGAGTTTTAATTAATACTTTTTAGGGACTGCTGTGCCCAGGAAACATATTTCAGGCTAAATTATTTATATATTAACATGAAATACTGTAGAGTCTAAATAGATCAAATTAACAATTAATAATTCAAGTCCTATTTTATGCAGGTCAATATTTGTCTCAGTCATGTAAATGACATATGTGTGTCTGTGACTCTTAAAGGAACAGGCGTCCTTATTAACGGTCTAAAGTTACAGTTAGGCCACCTACATTATTATTGGAACATTTGGTTGTTAACACATTTAAAGGTGTAGTGTATTTGAATGTCCATTAATGGGTGCATGGCCAGGATAGAGTACTGATGGTTGTAATGCCGGGTGATGAGAATGTTTGGCGCATGACAGCATGTAAACAAAAACCAAATATGGTGATTACCATGGTGACATATCCATAATTCATCCAACCAGAGAATAATGAAGAAACATGATTGGAACATTTACAGAAAGAGAGGGGGGGAAAAAAATCTCCCTTCCAGCTGCAGGTTATTAGAATCAGGACAGCAGAGCATGATGAGAATATACACACACACACACTGACATGCTGCAGTAACACACACACTGTCGCATTCTGCTCTCTCTGGCTCGGCACTGGCCTGCTGTTAATGTGAGTCCGCTTGTTTATCCGCTTGTGTAATTGTACACAAAGCGGCGATGGGGGATGATGTGTGAGATTATCACAAGGTCATCCGTCGGCGGGATGAGAGCCTGCCATCACGCACCAGCCCGATCTGGCTTTCACTTGTTTACATCCTCATTCTGGCTCCAGCATGGCCGCTGTGGCTGCGCGTAAATCTTAAGACGCAATAAAATAAAAAACACCCAATTCGGCTGATCTAAGGAGGCTAAAACAGGCAGAATGTGAGCCGCGGCTTCCCTCCAAATCCCCCCTCAGCCCCTAGCATTGTTCCACCGAAAGCGGCGGCCCAATGTTATTGTAACCCTGATTAAAAAGCGGATCTTTCTTTGTTTAGCATTTTATATCTATATCCCTGCGTAATTGCAACACAAATCTCTGAATGTGAGCTGTAGCATGCCACTGTGTGCGTCTAGAATCAGATCAACCTGCTCTCCTTTCACTGGCTCAGGACGAACATTCTAACCCGAACAGCTCCCCGCATCCCGATCGGTGCCCTTACCTCCTGTGTTTGTGCGTTTGGTGCTGCTGGCCTCCGTGGGAGTCTCCAGGGGTCTTTTACGTGAGTCCGGAGGGTCGGACTCCATGTGTGGTTGTTGATTGTGATGGTGAGGATTTGAAAAAATCCCGTTTTGCTGTACTGCTCCGCCGGCCATCATTTTCGAGCTTGCTCTTGGATGCTTGGGCTGCGTTTGCGTTTAAATCCCCCCTTTTCCCGTTTTTTTACGCAGCGTAGCCGTGCAGATGAGTCCTTGGAGAAGGCGAAAGCGATTCTGGGAATTGGAAAAATACGCCTGTTTCTTACGGACGGGGGAAGGTTAGCTGCGCGTTTCTCCGTGGTGCGCGCGTGCGTACCGAGATGCTGCGCAGGGACAGAGAAAGAAACGGAGCGGCGGATGATCGAGTCAGAGGGGGGGAGAAAATCCGGAACCTCTGCAGATGGATGATGATCTAGGCTACTGAAAACGTGCAAATGGAGCATCAATCTTCCATCAAGCTTCTGATATGTGGGCTAGGATATGTGTGTCATTCCGCTGCAAACACATAAAAGAGCGTACTCATGTCAGGGCAGTGCAGGATGGTGGCGCTCCTCCGCAACAATAAATAAACAAAACAAAAAAAACAATACCGAAAGACAAAGAGGTGAAATCAACCGGAGAAAGAAGAGAAAGGTCGGTGAAGCAATACAAAAAATCCGGTGGGTTATTGTAGGCTATTAGATAATTTCTTTCTTCTTATCCTGTCCTGGCTCCGATCATGCAGACACCCCGGGGTGACGGAGGGTGACGGTGGGTGAGAGGGTCCGGAGACGCGGAGTTGGAGGAAACACAGAGAAAGAGAACGAGTTTTTTTCCTGCTCCTTCTCTCGGTGAAGATGCTGCAGTCTTGCGTTCAGAGCATCCCTTCTCTGACTGGCTGCGCGAGGGAGCGCAGGGGAGCGGCTGACGTCACAGGGCCTTGAGACCCATTCAGATGCATCCCGTAAAATTGGGGTTTCCCAGACGTTTAAGTAAAAGAGGAAGCGAATTGTCTTTGTGTTGTGTTGCTTTTTAACCGCGAAAAACCATCTGAGGATATTACTTAGGCTAGGCTAGAAGTATGTATTTCTATTATTTTGCTTTTGGTTTAGCCGACCAGATCAAGCTTTTATGCAGTTTAAAAAACAACATTGGATTAATTAACCTACATCACTTCAGTGATCTTTAATCATTTAGGAGCTAAGAATTCTGCAGGTTTTCAATTCATGCAAATTATTTACACAAAAGATACATTGGTGAGCGGTTAGAGACGTTGAAGTGTCTATCAAATAAACATTTTATCTTCAAAACAAGGGTGTCAGTTAAATTGAAGCGTGGTGAGGACATAAACAAAAAAAACAAAATATATATAAAAGGTCTTCAACATGTGATTTTAGGAAATGTAAAAGGTGTACTGGTAGGAGATAGGTAATTTATGGCGGGTCTGGTAAAAAATGCATACCCAAAAGAGCGTTTGCAGTTTGAATGAATGAAAAGTAATCCAACATTAACAGAGTGAAGACAGAACACGTACATTTTCTTACTTATTGGGCACTTTTGGGCAATTAAAAGATTAGTAGGCTACGTTTTTTTTTGGAGCCTAAGTTCTTCTTAGACAATGCTTATTAGTTTCTTCTATAATCTGATTTCTTATGACAAATCTTTCTCAAAGCTTTTTCCTTATTTAGTTAACATTTTGTTGCTTTGTTAGCAAATACTTTTCACAAATTCTTCTTCTTATATCTAAATGTTGGGAGAAAAATAGCCATTTAAAAAAATGGTGGGGTTATGGCCACAGCTTCTCCCATTGTAAATTACACCTATGGTTTCAAAACATAAAATCCCGGCTCACAGGCAGAACCAACCAGTTAATTCCGATGTTCCCTGAAGGCATCGTGAGAGAGAAAGCGAGAAAGAGAGAGACGCCTCAGTCGAGACACGATTGGCCGAGGCTGCATTTCTCCGGCAAAACGGAAAGGACACACATATATTCTCCCGACGGTGTCACATGACGGAGTGGAGAGGATGCGGCTCAGTCGGCGGCTTTTTGCTCCGTTACACTCCCGGCAAATGCAATTATGTCCGAGCCAGAGCCTGAAGGTCCCTGCGCGGCGGTCTGAAGGTCTGTAGCTGGCTGTCCACTGCTGTACAGAGGGCCACGAGCCTCCAACTCACCTGGAGCTCTGCAGGAGGCTCTGGCTTCAATTTACATACGAGAAATCTAAATAAAATTTGTGACAGTTGAAAGAGTTAGTTTTTATTAAAGTGTAGCATTTAAAAAAAATATAAACCAATTTGTTTTATTTATATCTGTAATTATTTTTCTCATTGTGATCCCATACATCTCTAATTAGACAATATCGCACCTTAGACGATGCCTGTATGATCCCTGCCGGGACGCCAAAAAAGACACCAAAATAAAATGACATGTTTATGCATGGTTATAATGCAGTTCTGACACTGAAACAGCCTATAAAAGAGGGAAGCATAAAGCGTGAGCCCCCGGCCTGTCTCACCTGTCCCCTCATCTGCTGTGTGACCCACCTGTGTGTGCTGCGTCTGACATCTCTGCGTCGCTCTGCCTGTATGTGAAGAGGGATCCTCCAGCACTGTGAGCTGTCTGAGAGAGCTACACCCGCCTCAGTCTTTCTCTCTCTCCCTTTACACACACACGCACACACTCACACATTTGGCATATTCTCACACACGCTCCGAGACACACGCAAATACCTTCTACTCCCTCTCTCCTCCTCTGTCCACTGCTGTACAGATGTGGTGCGCCCTCATTCCCTCCTGTAGATTGTAGTCAAGGTGACATTGTGCTGCCTGTGCACACACACACACACACACACACACACACACACACACACACACACACACAGCACACACACACATAGAGAGTCGCAGCTTTCTCACACTATTTCACATCGCCATGAGAAATGCACCGGTGAGCCAGTCTCCTGCTCTGGAAATACGTGGCAAATGTGAGGCAGATGGATCCCAGGCTGCAGTCTCAAACTGATTCTGCACCACAGAGAGCAAAAAGGCCTCGACGGCGGCACCTCATTGTACGAGCCGCTCTGCACAGTGTGTGGAGTGAAGCGTAGCCGGACACGAGCATTTATGCATTTGGACGTGAGAAAAATGTGACCTGAACTGTGAGGGTCTCACGCTGCCAGGCCGTCCAAGCCGCTGCTGCAGCATATGGAAAAAGTGAAGTAGCCCCATAAGCAGTAAAGCACACAGACTAGCAGCATTCTTTAGTTTTTATTAGGCTGGAGCTGTGAGCAGATGTTGGTGGTATGGTTTTTCAGATATTTGGTACCGCAAACTACTGCTCAGCTTTGGACAATGACCCTGAAAGCAGCTTTCAGTACCGCGAGTTATTCTGCACACCACGTTCAATTTGTAAGAAGTTCATAATAACTCAGTTCTCCCACTTTTTTGTAAAATGGAATCAAAAGATTTAGTTAACCAACAGCAAATGATTGACAGCGTTTCCCTCTCAGTTAGGGAAGAGGTGATTTTCCAATGATGGATTTTTCATTTTGGAGCCAAAGCCTGGAATTCCCAGTCTTAAAAATATGATAGTGACTCAAAAGCAAAAAGCTGAGACAGGAGCCAGCTGGAGGGGTCAAATCTTAGTAAAGGTTCTTTGATTTGACCAGGTGTACAAAATGAGATAAACATTTGAGAAAACATTCCATAATTTGTCCTAATCAGCTCGATAGTAAAAATACACCAAACATGTCTTACTGTTACTGTTCCCTCAATCACAGTTTTGTGAAATGAGTTTCCTCTGGACAAGGTCCTCCTCTCCAGGTGTGACCCACTCTCACCTGTTCTCCCTGCAGACTGTGATATACTGTACGCAAATGATTCTGGGTGTTTCTCCTGCTCGGGGTCAAGGCTGGCTGAAGATAAATGATATTCAGGATGTCAAATCTGCTGTGCTGCTGGCAGACGCTAGGCCTCTGCTGCCCCCTGCTGACAACCTGTGGGAAGAGCAACACATCATTATTTACTTTGAATCTTTTCTTATCCTCTATGTAAAAAAATGTCAAATGGACTGCATTTATATATCTTTTTCCATTCGTTACAACCCCTCAAAGTGGTTGAATGACACATTGACATATTGACTGCAAGGGCTGGGTATTGAACCACTGACCTTTTGCCTGGACGATGACCATCTCTTAAGCCATTGCCATCCCCCTTTGTCATTTTACTGGTTCAACTGAGTTATTCCTTAAAGTCATTTCTTGGTCGTTTTCATTCATAGTCTAAAATAAGACAATTATAGCAGAAAGGGGGCTAAAGGAAAAAGCACGGTACATCCCTTTAAAAGTCAGGAGATCAATGAGACACACCTGTGAGTTGGGGAAGGGGAAACAAATTAGTAAAGGACACAAGGAGGAGAACAGGAAAGCGGAGTGAGAGTGGCTCAATAAGCAAATCCTTCAAAGTTGATTCTAGTTCCTGGACACATTGGTTAAAAAATAAGACTTGATTTGTCTGTGCTGCTGGAAATATGCTAACCTTGGAGCTGCTGGATAGAGGAGCCAGCTCTATGACCTGCTTGCATGCAGCTATGGACCACTTGCAGCTGTGGCTTTGTTTAACCTACAAAAGTTAGATAAGTTAATCTAGCTATCCGGTTCAAATAGTCGTTTTTTAATGTATTTTGTATGACAAAATAGTTACAACTCATTTATATAAATTCAAGTTGCCAAAAGCGTTCTCAAAATACAGTTTATGCTAGGGTTTTCATCTGATTTATATCTTCTTGTTCTATTCTTATTAAAAGGTCAATATTGGCCTTGGCCTCAAAATACCTGTTCCTATTGACAACACCATTACCTCATTGAAGAACTCATTTATTTAAAGAAGTTCTACATCCAAGATAAAGTAAACAACTTAAAGCTCATTGGTCATGATTTGCCAGCAGTGTCAGTGAAGGACTTTTCTCCACAGCCCGCTCCCCCCCCCCCCCCCCAAACGTCCCCTCTGTATAATTGTCCTGCTACCCGGCACTCATTCAGTTGTGTCCCAGAAATCAATAAGGAGTGGATGCTGAGGAGGAAGCGTGAGCACTCTGTGAGATTGGAAAGAGACAGATGTGATGTGTTCCTCTTTATTGTGTCCGTCCATGACCTCACTCTCATGCCATCACGCTGAGATTTATGACTGACTGCAACACAGGAACCTGCATTTGTATTATTTAAGAATGAATAACTGTTATATCTCTCACAGGCTCCGCCCTCTACTGGACTCTATGGGTACCTTATCATGCAAGCATTAACCTACTGAGACTTCTATAGACGTAGCCGCCTTCCTTGAACACCGAACCTGCCCGACATGCCCTGGCCTGATCGCGGGGGCTGACCCGCACCGCCTGTGCTTCCAGTGCCTGGGGCCGAAGCACGCAGAGGAGGGCCTAAACCAGTCGCCGGCCTGTAATGCCTGCCGCATGATCCCGCGGCTGAACCACCGACATCGTGGCGAGCATTTCCGGGTGAAGTTCGGCCCGCAGGTGGAGGTGGAGGATCAGGACCTCGAGGTGGTGGAGATGGATGAACTAGATGACGAGGTGCCATTTGATTTCACCCTCCCAAGGGGCTGGGTGGCCACATTCACGAAGGGGGAAGACGACGAGGACGCCTCGTTGTCTGACACCTTCGGGTCCGGCGGCCAGGAGGGTCCAGCACACAGGTCTGCACGTCTGGACTTTCCGGCGGTTATGACCCTGGCGGCGGAGCGGTGTGGCTTACCGCTCCCCCCACCGCTGCCACAGAGGCCTGTAAGCCGCCTTCGGCAGGGGTGAACTTCCCTTCACGGGGAGTTTTGCGGCGGAACGGGTCACCAGGGAGTATCACAGCTTCATAGCTGGGGACCTGCAGCTGAGGGCTTGTCCAT